AAAACCGGAAAAGACGGTCGAAATCCGGGAGTCTCCCAGCCAATCCGGGAGACTTGGCAGGTATGCTATACTATCTCAAGGAAATGATCGATCACGCTCTTTTTTGGGTGACAAGTGATTTTTTTTTCTGGTTTTTCCAGAAACCTACAACGCGAAGAAGATAAATGGCCTTTCGGGACAGACATGGCAGCAGCAAATTTGGTCGTCATGGTTCGAAAATTGTGCGCATGTGGTTGAGTCTTAAGGGGAGACGCTCCTCGAAAAAAAAAATTTTTTAATAATAATGAAGTTAGAGGGTCGAAATTTGCACAGTTGGTGTAAATTGAGCTCCTGTTATGATATTTGTAATCACTTTTTTATAGCTATAGTAGTTTGATTTTTATAATATATTTTAGTGTGAAATAATGCCTTTCTTGTGCACACAATTTTTCTTAGTAATTATTATGCCAGAGCATTTTAAAACACACTCGGTAGTTCATTACAAGCCACAAAATGCTGATATCTAGGTGAAATAATTTTATCTGCATTTTATTATTAACAAAAAAATTTATGAAAATTAGGGTGTCATTCTCTTTTGTCTGTTGGCATTCTGTTTTCGAACTATAATAAATATGTTGTGAGACTAGACATATAAACATGATTTCCGCACTCTATGCACCCCAAAGAATATCTGTGCAAAATTTCATTGGGATCCAAGAAGTAGAAGAGGCAAAAATTGTGTGCACAAACTTTAAAAATGAGCAAAAACACCAATTTGAGAAAAACTCTAATGAAAGTTGATTTGAACATTGGATGCCGAAATTCTTGCTGAAATTAAATCAAACTTGGTGTAAATGTACTTCAATATGTCTATTACTAGACTTGGAACACTAGAACACTCCTGCTGCATAAGTTTCGCCCTCACGGTTCTTGCGAACAGAGTCCTCGGTACGGGCTCGTTTCACCTGGCTGCAGCGATGGGACTTGGCTTCAGCAGTCAGCTTCACAGACATCTTCCGGATTCTTTTCTGATCACTTTCCAGGCTGAGTCTGACCAGCTGGTTTGAAGGAAGGACTCCCAGTTCTTCCAGCACTTTTTTGAAGCTGGAGTGGCCCCTGTTGAACCACAGCACTGCAATGGCGGTGGCAGTCTCCCCTGCAGTGCGTGATGCGAAACGACTCTTCGGGCACAACATCCAAATCTTGCCATTCAAGGATTCAGCGGCGTTTTGTGTCTTCCCTTGCAAACAGCGGGCAAGCAGTTTGGCATCTGTCAAACGTTTATAAATTGGCAGCAGTGCTTTTGCCTTGTGCTTTGGTCAGGAGGGGTGTGTGTTCAGGAGCAGGTTCTCCCAGAGCTAGGGCTCTCTTTTGTTTGCACCATGACTCTTTCCCATCGGGGCAAAACTTGTGGCTGTTTGCCTCATTGCTGGAGCACGAATGGAAATACGAGGCCTAAATTGCACAGAACATGCCTCTTACGCTGCCTCGGTTGCTGGTTATTGCAATTTGATAATAGTTCTGCAGCCTTTGAATGGTCTTGTCACTGAGCTTCTGCCCACGGGGAAGTGGTGTTTTCAGCTTTCTAAGCGCAGTACCAAGACGTTTGGCAACATGGTTTGTGCAGTCTTCTTTCGTCACTGCCTTCGACCCATAAACCTGTGCTTCACAGACTGCAGCATATGCCTTGCTGTCGCCGTCGCTCAGAAATGTGGTTAACTGCATGTTATAGGACTGCGTCCTGCTTTAGATGCGTAGTGCAGCGTGTGTTTCCATGGCATGTGATGTGCAGTCCACATTTTTTTCACACACAGGAGAATGGAAGGCCTGCCATACTTCTTCCTCTTCGTTGTCAAGGGCTTTGTGGCTGCTACAGCCTTGGCAGTCGTTTGCCAACACTTCATAGTCCAGACAGAGGCCAGTGTCCAACGAAATTGCAGTGCCAACACCATTGTGGCTCTTGTGCCCAGGCTTCTGCCAAGTCCCATCAAACATGACAGCAACGTCAGTCCGATCAGTTTGTAGTGCGGTTATTTGTCTTGCTTCTGCTAGGTTGTCTGAGGCTGCTTTGGTGGCAGCAGTGTGCACTTTCTTGGCAATGTTGTAAAATGTCTTATGGTGAAGTGGCTTTGGTAAGCCAAGAATGCCACAGAACCTTGTCAGCTGGTCGTGTCCGACACCAATCGAACGCGCAGCAAGCACTACTTTCACATTGATGGCGAAACTATCGCGAGGGCTTCCACGGCACCGCTCCGCGTCAGACCCTTCACAGCCATTGGCACCAGTGCGTTCCGACGAATACACAGCCGAAACTGCTGCTGCTGGGCACGCTTCGTTCGTGCAACGGAGCTCTAGAAGGGAAGCAAGGCCCTTGCGCTTGCTTGCGACCTCCACCACCACAAGTTCGCATTTCCCGCACATTCCGCACCTGGCACTGCTCACAAGCCGAGTCAACGCTTCAATTTCACAGATAACGACACCTGCGCCAGTCCCGCCGTCAGCAATCTCTTCATCTTGGAACGCTGCAAACTTCCTCTCCGAGGCGCTCACGAAGTTGAAAGCGTCGCTGATAAAATCAGACGTGCTTGCCTGTGCTGCGCTGGGAGGGGTGCTGCCGTTCCGCTGGCGTAGGGGGCTTGCCGGGTCCGCCGCGCTCGTGGCTTTTCTTCGCTTCTGTTTTCGCTTCCCCTTGTACGGGCACGCCGTCCGGTACTTCCGGAGGCAAAAGTTACGCTTATTCTCGTCATTCATCGCGGAAAACGTAGAGCAGAAAACAACGCTGACTAGACTAGTCCTAAGTGGCGATGCGATGTGAGCGGATACGAAACTGCTGGAATGGCTCTGACAGCATGGCGGTAGCCAATGCCAGTCTTGGTTTCACGTCACGTGACAGCGGGAGCGCTCGGAAGACGCGCAGAAAAACATTTTTATTATACTTTCACACGCAAATACGAAACGAACTGACGTAGAAGCCAAAAGAGGAAGGCTATGTGCAATTTTTTCAAGTCTCCACAATGGCGGCCGGCGCCCGTGCTTTGAGTGGCGGCAGTTCGAAAATGGCCAAAATGTGGCTGCATTCATGATTTTTGCGGTCACCGCGAGTCATTCAGACGCGTTTTTTTTTTTAACTTCTTGCACAAATCTTGTTCTTATATTTTGCTGCATGAAACTAGGATGTTCAATGATCATAAAGAAAGCAAGAACAGAAAATCGAAAATTATAAAAATAATACAGATTTTTCGACCCACGTCTCCCCTTAAAGTTTCACATTTGCAGGAAGCGACCGTCGGATGGCACGGGCAGCTGCATAACCTTCGCTCGCTGTGTGCTTATCAGCTGCAATGTCTCTATACTCGCACCCCTCATGAACCCCGCTGTGGCACATTAAGAATTAAAAAAGACTGGGGACATGCCGTGCACAGACAAAGAAAAACAATACGTGCACGGCAGCAAGCGAAGGGCTGGAAAAAGAGAGCGGAGGTGACCGAGGGGGGGTCGGCATAACAAAAAATGGAAGAGATGCGACGGGCAACAAGGCCGCCGGTGTCGGTTAGCAGGACTGCAGCGGATGATTGTAGGGGCTGCTTTTATTACACTGGGGAAAAAATCCTAATTTTGACGGCTGAGGTTAGGTAGTGTTTTGCGCTTGAAGATTACGTACGGGCGCAGTTTGGTACCGTCCGCCAAAGCACTCAACATTACTGTGCAGCGTACTGTGCAGCCCCTCCCGCCTTGCCCTAAACACCAAATTTGGTGTGATGTGACGTGAATAGACGAAGATAAATGACATGTCAAAACATGATAATAATGACATGCATGTCATGTAAAACATGGCTCCATGCTACGCTCATAGCATGCTCGCGGTCGTTTCGCTAGCTTCAGATTTACCAAATTTTGTATCACAGGACGTGAATAGACTACGAAGGTAAATGACATGTCCAAACATGGTAATCATGATATACGTGTCATGTAAAACAGAACTACATGCTATGCTCATAGCATGCATGCAGGCATCCCCGCACTCACACAGTCTTAGAAATCACTGCATGATCTACTAAGGCTCCTATCTCAAATGCGCAAAATCTTAAGTTCTTTACAGTGACATATGCGAACTAATATTCGTGAACCTCTTATTTATTTCAAATATTCAAAATTTTCGAATATGTGGTTATCGAACTAAATCCGAATAATACAAATGCAATATTCGACGAATATTTGTAACTTTGGAATATTCGCACACCCCTATCGTTTGAAGACTTTGGCGGCTCGGACAGGTGTCTGTGTGGGGGAGGGGTGACAACTGAACGCACTTAGCGCTTCACAAGCATACAAGAGAACTTTTTTTTTGCACACCTCAATGAGAATTTTTGTCTGCAGAACATATCATACGACTGCAGTTTGCCGCAATGCCGAATGTTGCTGCCAAATAATCGTACTTTCCCAGAACGTATTAAACCTAACGTATTAACACTAGCTTGATGAGGGCCTTTTTAATTTTCTCGATTTCGAGCATAGCAGCTTGGAAATCGTATTTTAAGCGAGCAGGTATCAACGAGGTTCTGCTGCTTATGCTTACCGCTTATTGTGCAGTCCCCCAAGATAAAAGACCAGTTACCTACAATTGCCGGAAAATATTTGCGAGAAACGCAGTAGCGAGTGCGCTTCTGAAAGGTGGTGCAGTGAAAAGAGCGAGGCCGTTACGCAGGAGGAGCAGATGCGAAGTGAACAAACAAAGTGCAGAGGGAGGAAAAGAAACAAAGACTGCAGCACACTGCGCGGCCTCGACGAGTGAAGGAGGACGAATAAGTCTTTGCACTGGCTCAGCTACAGTGTACTAGCATGCCTGGCGTGGCTCTGACCACGTGTGATCCTGTCTTTCATGAACTGGGCACGGAGTTTCCCATCGAGAAGAGAGTCTTCGCTATCAAGCGTCACTTTTTTTTAAAGAAGAGGAAAGTTGCATATGATCTTTTTACAGGTTTTCCAAGGATCAGTGAACTGATCAAATGGATTCCACTCACCATGCAAAAGTTGTTGTACAGCATCACTGGCCAACTGTGATGCTGTGTAGCCTTGGCCACTCACTATGCCTGGATCAGCCCCAGCCGCCAGGAGCACGCGGCAAGCTTGCACATTTCCTTCTCGTGAACACCGATGCAGTGCAGTCTGACCCAAGCTGTCCAGAGCATTCACCTGCATTACATTCATGCCACAAAATAGTTGGAGGGAAGTGAAACATTAAATACATTTAAACAGATAAATAATTCCTCTATTGATTTCACCATCATAGGCTGATTACCAGAAGAAGAAAGTCAAAGGTTGACGAATTTTTATGTTAAAGCAAACTGGCCCTGCAACACTTCTTGAGCAAAGTCGCGAAATGCTGCTGACTGGTGGTAGAGGCAGAGAACATTAGCCAGGGATCATAGCAATAAATTTTTAAGCCTCATAGGGACAAATCGTACCGGGCGTTCACCCTCTCAGGCTATGCAGGCACATGCTGTGCATCACAGTTTGGAGCCTTCCATACTCTGTTTATACACGAAGATGTTTTTTTTTTCAATAAAATTTTTCAAAATACAACAATATCTCCTTTCCAAACCATACTACATATAAAACAGATGTGACCATCCCCGCAAAGTATACACTCCTTTTTCACATACCCAATTCTTTCGAAATTCCTTTATTTCTATTACCTCGCACGACTGAAGTCACTTGTCCACCACCTCTATTGCCCAACTGACTGATGTCACTGCTTTTAAGGGGGGGACGCGGCACTTGGAAGTCCGAAATCGGCCCAAAAATCGCATTTTTTCTATTATTTTCGCGTTCCCAATGCCCTTACGCACCTATCAGCCAAGTTTGGCTTCCAAATGCCACTCATTTCTCAAGTTATAACCCATAAAGATCGCAAATTCGCGCAAGTGGACCTTTAACTTGAAGTGTAAACTAGCCGTACTTCAACCGCTGACGGCACGCGAACTACACGTTCCCCAAGCACCATTTTAGTCTCGGAAAGATCGAGTTTCTAGCTTTTTTTTTCCTTGCCACTAGACAACTATGTGCCCCTCGCAAAAGCAAAAAAAGTGAAGTCAAAATCCCGCACAGCGCATGATTCCATTGGTTGCTTGACGCACCAGACCAAATTGGCGCTTCCCGATTGACCAGGAAAACTCGCTGGCAGTGTCTGCCGCCATTTTAAAAGAGTATCGCCCTTACGAAGGTGTCATCACTCGTATCCCTAATCTAATGTGCTTGTGCGTCTCACTATACCCAGCGGTGCAAAAAAAGTTGCGATCATAGCAACATTTTGGCCGTTCACGGAAGAAAGAAAGAGGCAGAAAACCCAATGGTGCTGCTACTGTGTCGTGGGAGCAAGTTTTGTGTTGTCTGACAATGCCGTCATAACCGAAGCCCGTTCCTCGCGTGTGCGCGACGTGGATGCTCGCCGCTCGTGTACTGGAGATGTTATGAATGGAGGAGTGTTGCGAGACAGCTTCCCCGGATAGCGCACGCTCTTTGGATTATGACCGCGTCGATGCTTTCGGCAATGATGAAGTGCGCATAGGCACAGGCCTCCCTGACAGCGCGTCCGATGTCGACTCCAGCCGTATGCGGGTAGACACTGATGTAATCAATGCCAGTGAAGGTCGCGACGCGCGTGCCCGCGAGACAACCACAACGCTTGAGGGTCTTTTGGCAGTGTCGGCAACAGCGCGAAAAATTGAGTGCTTTTTTGGAGTCAAGTGGTGCGGAATTGAGGAAAGATGCCAGCAAGGCAAGACTCAAAACTCACACGAAAGCCTCCAATCCGTGATTTGGAGTTTGGTATTAAAGGAGCAGCACGTTTCTCTTTTTGCTGTGCAAGCTGCTGTTGCAGAAGCTGTATTGTTTTTCAACACGGGCAATGTCAATGCCTTCGCTGCGATTCTAGGGCAACTGGACATCACGATATTCAACAGCACATTCCTGAGGGCTAGGGAGAAGGACTGTCGTGAGAGTGCAACCTCAAATAAATTGAGAAAAGCGTTCCAAAGTCTCAGAAAGCTGGTCAAGAAGAAGCGCAAGGATGGGATGCATCCAGATTATGCCCCTGGTGTATTTTAATAAGATTTTATTAGCATTTTTTTTAATAAAGGTCCTTTAACTCTTGTTGAAATTGGCCCAGCAAATTGATTTATAGCATATTGCACTCCTTAATTTTTAGAATCTGCACATCTAAATACACAAATTGTGAAAATTTCGTTCGGATCTATACGTAAATAAAAAGTTGCTCATCAAGTGTAGCCTCACCCCTTAAGGTTGATGTTGAATGCAATGTTCACTCTAAACAGCTTTTTTCTTTTTTTTTATAACGTACTCTGTGACCCACTATTTTCTGTAATGCCTTCAGGCCCTGAAGCTACTCAAGTAAATATGCATTGGTTATCCTGATTACATTACAGTAATATGTTTAGTTCTCATATGTGAATGCTGGTATATAAAGAAAAGGGTTAATAATGTTTGTAGATTTTAATTAATGACCCTCAGAATGTTTGTTTTTTTTTTCGTTACCTTTGCCCCATTTTTGATCAGGATGTCCACAACATCTAGGTGAGATTTGCTGGCTGCTAGATGCAGTGGCGTCAAGCACCTGAAATAAATAATGCACCACACTTTTATTCATACGTCACAAAATGTTAATCTGAATCGAGTGCTTTGTTTGCATTATTAACACACGTCTCACGTCTAATGCCACATGCGATGTCAGCTGACACACTTTTTCTTCTTAGGTTAGCACCCGCACATCATTAAGGAATTATTAGGCTTGTGCGAATATTTGAATGCATTGAATATTTGAACAAATAGTAGGGTATTTGTATTCGCTTTGATTCGAATTTAAATTATTGAAAATTTCAAAGTATTCGCAAGGAATGACTACATGCATATTAATTCGAATGTACCACCTGTAAAGGTAGTTTCACTGCAGAGTTGCGCTGATAAACCACGAAAGCATTTATCCAGGATAAATCCGCTCTGCTACGAAGCCCCCTACAAATTTAAAGGGGCCCTGCAACACTTTTTGAGCATTGTCAGAAAACGCTGCCGATTGGTAGTCGAGGCTACCGAGGACACGCAAGCCAAATGTTATAGCGCAGCATGCGACCTAAGATTCACAATAAATTCTCAAACTCAGCTGAATATTGCTCTCTTTTCTTGGCAAATGATTCCACAAGCTCAGAAAGTACGCGTGACGTATTTTCTTTCCCCGTGCCATCCTTCCCTGCTTAGCTTCCAGCGCTTTCGTCGGGATGAGAAGAAAGAATGTACTTGGAGCGTGCGAGAAATCTTTGAAACTCCACGCGTACTGGATGGATTCTAAAAATTTTTGCGGAGGTGAAATCGTGAAGCAATAAGCTTCTTTAGTAAATCTATTCTATGACTACTTGAAAGTTCCCTTTAAATAAAAATATTACCCTCGAATCAATTAATTTTATTAAGCTTGAGAACTTGTTAAGACAGCTTATATAATAAATTTTAAAATGTTACATATTTTAAGGGCTATGACTCGCACCCTGCTGAAAGTCAAATCCTGCTGTACTAGTACAAAGTTGTTTCAACTTCCTTTGAACGAAAAAAGAAATGGCATTTGCATAGACTCTCTATTTCAATTTTAAAAAATATTGCGCAGGTTAGTTAGATCACAATATATATGCCCATTTTTCCATATATACTATTCGAATTCCATTAGAAACTATTCGACCAAAATCACTATTCGCTTCAACCCTAAAATTCATTATTGGCACAAGTCTAGAAATTATGAAAAAACTCCTGAGGTGCGACTATGGCAGCAGGAAAGAGCCCAACTAAAATTAAACCTTTCAACCACCTGTGTTGTAAAAGGTAATGTCAAGTGTTTTTTTTTTTTTTTTTGCCCCCTTATGAATCAAACTGAAATGTCCAAAGGTATTTTATACAGTCTGCTATTTCATTGCACCATTTTTTTCTTTTTATGAATAGTTTAGTATTAATACTAGAGACATTTAATTAGGGCCAACTATGTCATGTTAGCGAGAAATAGAATGCCTCACAGGTGGCGCAAATTGTAGCACAAATTTACTTCAATTTTCCAATTACTAGAGCACTGCCGTTCCCAATATTGAAATTTTAAATGTTGCAAAGATTAAGCTTTGAGTGCCACATAAGTTGTTTGCCTTTAGGCAGAAAAAGCTTCAATTTATTTGCCTTCGTCTTCCTTTATGGCTGCAGTTAAAGTTCATCATGTCAAGTGGTCAGCATTACAGGGGCACGGGCATGCAGAGGCGCACCGACACGTACACACTGCTTTCCCAGACCAAGAAACCTTGCTCTTTACTGGACCCGCGCCGCATATATAGGCACACATGCACATAAGTTACAGAGGGCAACACACTCTGGTGGCAACTTTACAAAAGGGCTGAACATTGGCAACCTATACACTTTACATCAAAATAATAGATAAACATGACTGTACTAATAAGGTTAAAGATAAGTAGGTAGTGTTCTATGGACGTGAACATTGTTACAATGTCATATGGCATATACTTAAAAGAATGCAACAGTCGAACCAGCCTTTACTAGGCAATCCTGAGCCTAGCAATGAAACTATCACTCACGGTACAATGATAACAGCAATCACACATCAATCATGTTGTGCTTTCTGGGTGAAACGTGTTGGTGAAACTAGATGTGTCTTTGTATAATCCAGCATTACCAGTGATGCTTGCATAAATTCTAGAACGTACACAGCCTCCCGCAGTGCGCAAACAATAAATAAGAATCATTAAAGACTTTCAAGAATTTTCCAATGCATTTAGCTGCAGGAGGCATCAAGCAATAAAACATGTTTGTTTTAGCCCATAAAACCTGCTCACATCTAAAAATATGAGTGCACACAGCAATAATCAAAATTTTTTAACCCTGAAGCTTGCTGTACCGAGGTCAAAAGTAAACATGGTGGCTTGAAATAAGTGCTGCAAGGCTTTGTTAATGCTTAATGTCTGGTACTGTTACTAAGAAATAAGTGAAACTTGGGTGTAAATTGCAAGACAATTTACTCACTCTTCATTTTTCTCATTGATGTTAGCATTCTTCCTGAGCAGCAATTCTATTGCCTGCTTGCGCTTGGGAAATGAAGAAACTGCAACCATATGCTGCAAAAAAGAAATACAGGTATACAATATTAGAAATCACTAAGAATGTCCAGAATCAAACATCAAGCAAATATGATTTCTTGTTTTTTTCTCATACAGCTTTAAACTTGACCAATGAACACATGACTTGTCAGTAAACAGTCACACAACAAACAATGTGTTGGTCATGGCAATTTACCGTATTTAATCGCATAATAGGCACACTTTTTCTTTTTCAGAAAGTATGGCTGGAAGTTAGGGGTGTGCAGTTACACGGAATAAAATTTTCAAAAATGTTTTCCAATCTATTCTTGCGCTTTGAATATGCACATTTGTTAATTAAAAGGAGATTATGATTTACAAATTATTTCAGCATAAAAAAACATACTTACGTACCTTTAATGAACAAGCGAGAGCCGTCAACTACACACACACACATGTAAAATTTATTTACACAAAAGTCGTAGGTGTTCCTCCTTTTCCCTATTTGGAGTCCAAATCGGAGAGCACACATGCATCCTCGCCGAGCGGGGATTCATTTTCGGTGTCCGAATCATCCGCACCCCACATGTCATCCTCACTGGCATCCAGTGCTTTCGAGATAACCGTCTTTTTGAAGCTTTTCCTGACCACTTCGTCTGATATCGCCTACCACGCTTCCACGATCCAAGCGCACAACATTTCCACAGGCAACCTCTTAATCTTACCACCTGAAGTCAGCTGATGTTGTCCTCCAGCCATCCAAGTGGTGTACGGCCTTTGAACATGTGATGCCACCCAGAATCACTGCCAGATCTGTACGCAGATCCTTCAGCTCATCTCATACGCGGTCTACTAGGTGCCCACGAAAACTGTCAGGACAAGCATGGACGGAACAGACCACCCAGTTGCCGACCCCGGACTGTTTTCCCCCAATCCCCCACGAGTTCCACACTCATCCAGCCTTTTTCCTGGACTCTGACGTAGATGCCTTGAAGGAAACCTGCCTTTGGGAGTGTCTTATGTTTAAAAATATCGTAAGGTGGTAGCTGGCACCCATCCGCTGTCACCGCCAGCAAGTGCATTCTTGTTTATCAGCACCAGACATTCTGACGATGGCGCTCCGTGCACCTTTCTCTTCCTTTGTTGTATTCAGCGACATATCAAAGCAAAGGTTGATCTGATCAGCGTTGCCTATCTGGGACAAAATGAAGTCTTTCTGCTGTCGGAGCTTTATATCGAAGCGGTGGAAATCCACCACTTTATCCTCATATGCTGCAGGCAAGTGCTGGCACAAGGTAATCCACCTTCGCAGTGCGAGGCCATGGCGCAGCATGAAACGAGTTGTCGATCCGGAGCTGGCTTTGAACTCTTTTGCTTCGATGTGCTGCGCTCAGGCTATTCTGTGCGCCTCGATCTGCACAATATCCAATGACACTGCACAGCCGTCTTGTCGTAGATACCGTATATGCCGGACTAGTTGCTCTTCGATGTTTAGATACCTGCCAGTCTTGGCACTGCGGAAAGCCGGTCGTGTCTTCTTCGTCGCCTTAAGTTTTTCTTCTTGATACTTCCAGTACTGAATACTGGTTTCTCCAACACCGAAATGCCTGCTTGCAGCCAGGTTGCCGTGCTCCAGCACGTACTGCACTGCCTTCTGTTTCAATCCAGCTGTGTATACCCCGCGACAACTTTCTGTGGCAGCACAGCCAAGGCTACGGAGCCGAAGCACGCTTGTCTTACTGCGCCACAGCATGTAGTCCCTCAACGAAAACGTTTGTATACTGTTCTGGGTAACTAAGATTTTACCATTCGTCACTTACATTTTTCGCAGATTTATTTTTTAATTAGTGAATAAAAACGTTGCGCAGTAGAAAAAATTTCGTTTCACGCTCTCTCAGGTTTTTTGGGGGTTTTTTGGCTTCCGTCGCCTTTTTACCTCACCGCATTCCTCACTGTCAAAGATGGCGTCCGCCTGTTACAGCTCGTCAACGTCGCTTACGGAGGAAACACCGCCGCGTGCCGCGAGTCCACCAGCTGCGCAGCCGTACCAGGCGTTGTCAAATCAAAAGCTGTCCATACAGGCCAAGAAGGTGGCGTACAACGTTTACGCGCAAGCAAGGAAAAGCGACCCGCAGCTGTCTGTGAGAGCCGCATGTCGGAAAGTCAGCGAGCTCACTGGTGTTAGCGAGCGCAGTGTCTTCCGGATTAAGCTCAACGTTAACAGTGGAACCCTGAAGTCACCGAAGCGCAAGCGCCTGCGCCTCCCCGCCATGGATGACCGTGCGAAAACCGGGAAGACAAGACTGGAGCTTCACGACAGCTTCTCCCTCGCAGCTCTACGAAGAAAAGTGCATCAATACTTTCTGAGGAATGAACTCCCAACAGCTGCAAAACTGGCTCAAGAAGTAACCAGTGACAGTGACATCATGCCTAAAATGAGCGTGCGAACGATGCAAAGGCTGCTTAACGATATCGGCTTTTCCTTTCGCAAACGGAAGAGAAACTGTGAGCTTTTGGAAAGAGACGACATCATCACGTGGCGACGGCGGTACATGCGTACCATCCGACAACTTCGCGCTCAAAAACGGTACGTGCATGATGAGTTGTGTAACCATTACATGAATAATTGAATGTATCATTCACCCAGCAACCTGGGTCCACGTGTCAGTAAATCACGTCACAATATTATTAAAAATTGCTCTCGAGTTCCCAAAGATGCGACTCGCGTTTCCTGCAGCGAAACGCGAGCAAACGCGAGCCGACGCGGACTGCGGGACGCGGACTGCGCTGGTGAAATCGAAACCGAAACACCCGTCGAAGCGGTCGGACTACTTGGCGCAGTAGCACATGTGCATAGGCTCCGCCCACGTAGCCTTGGCCGTGCTGCCACAGAAAGTTGTCGCCGGGTATAGCTTGCGTACTTCCCCATGGTTGAACCAAAGTAGAATACACGACCACAACATACGCAGACCGCTTGCAAAATGGCGTTTCTTTTTCTCTGATGGTGGTGATGAAAATCAAGCCCCCGGCGTAGTACACGTTACCTCAAAGGAGCGCGACAATTTGAAGAGTATCAGTAATTGATGGAACAGCAGTTTGTTTTTTTCGCTCATGGACACTTTTTTTTTAGTTTTATTTCGACAAACACGTTGGTTAGGTCGTTGGACTTCAAATTTTTATTATTTGCTCGTCTATTTGCCTTATTTTTTTATTCAAGGTACGGGGCCCATGTTCCAACTGCACCATTGGGGGGGGGGGGGGGGTGGAATCGCTTCTAATCACAGCCAAGTTCGGGGTGCGCCTATTATGCGTGGAATTTAAAAAAATAATTTTCCACGACCAAACAAGGGGTGCCCCTATTATGCGGATGCGCCGATCATGCGAGTAAATACGGTATATAAGAAAATTTAAAATATATGGTATATGTTATGAATGAGATGTTTTGAGACTGCTGTTTAGTCCTGCAACTACCAAAACTGCTAATGAATCATTAAGTCAAAGCAACAAGAGATGCCCAGAGCAGAAAAGTGGAACACTGATTACGTTCATTTTAATATAGAACTGTGGGAACACAATCTGCGCATAAAGCCATAACCGCATGCATTCGATTTCCTAGCGACAGCGACAAACTTGCTCCGTCGCCTGCAACCGCATGTTGGCAACAGTCATTGTTGCTTGAGTGAAAACTATCGCGTACATGCCCATAAATTGCGAATAGAAGTTAAAAAGTTGGTCGATGACAACATGCCAAATTTATTACTGTCTTGTGTGACATAAGGAAGCCACAAAAGCTTTTTGCAACTTTCTTTTTTCGCAATCTTTAGTTTAACCGCAACAGGCTGTCTAGAAGCGTATCCGCTACGACAGCTACGACGCACTTTGCATGACGATTTCGCACTGTACCAAGCGACCCAATTATCACAAGCTACCGTCGAGACATCATACAAACCTTCGATAACGAGATTTATGAGAAAATACAGCCGCCCTCTCACTCTCGGCATGAGATGAAAATGTAAAAAAAGTAGCAGATACCTTGCATCCCTTGAAGTTTGCGGAAGTAACAGGCATCGAGAGCAAATTGCAATCGAAGCGAGGACCAAGGGCGCAGCCATGTTGCCGGAAATCGCCACGCTGGCTTTTGAGCAACAAACTATCTTTTCTAGTTTTCCGAAAACACGCGACGCGAGAAGCGGCGGCGACAGATGGGCCTCTCCACAGCAAATCTTGTCACTCGCCGCTGCCACTTGTCACTGTCGCGAGGCAATCGCGTGCATGTGGTTAGGGCTGAATTCCACACATCCTCACCCTCATTTTAATTTAGCTTGGCATGACACTGCTGCCAAGAGACAAGAAGGGAGCAGAGTGTATCGGGGAACAAACGGGGTCATAGTCGAAATCAAGAAGAAGAAATGGTCATGGGCAGGGCACGTAACACGAAGGCAAGATAACCGCTGGTCATTAAGGGTAACTGACTGGATTGCAACAGAAGGCATACGAGTGAGGAAGGGACAGAAAGTTAGGTGGGCAGATGAGATTAGGAAGCTTGCGGGTACACATTGGCAGCAACAAGCAAAGGACCGAGTTAAGTGGCGGTACATGGGAGAGGCCTTTGTCCTGCAGTAGGCATAGTCAGGCTGGTGGTGATGATGACACTTCTGAACGCTGCAGTGCATTCCAATAAGCCACAGCGTCACCGCAGCACCACCCAAGGCATGCATCCCCTGCCGTGGCTACAAGACCAGTCTGCCAAGCTCTCAAGATTACTACTGCCCCAGACGAGCATTGCATCAGAATGCTGTATAAAACTTTCTGGGTTCATACTTGGACAGAAAAGATGGCTGCCCACAAACTACACATGGACACAGAAGACACAGACAAGCACAATCCAGAATGCTCGCCTGATGCTTTTGCTAGTTGAATAAACAGTAATGTTTTTATAAGAGAATGCGTCTGTCTGTCCACGTCGGGGTGATCACGTGACTGTGTAGACCAAAACTGATATGCAAGAGTAAGGTGGTTTGAGGAATATGACTCTCTGGTAATGACATGAACAATGTGAAAATCCTGTTGCAAACATTGTCAAACCCTCCTTCCTTTGGCTGCACCTTCATCTAATTAAAATGCCCGTGAAGTCAGTGTTCGAGCTAGTGAAGCTTATAAGCTTGCCCATGACCTGTTCTTCTTATCACAACAGTACCAAGGATAGCCTGCGTCAATGCGTCCACTTCACACCAGGCTTCCTCGTTCTCCTCTGGTCACTTCACTTCGGGTTATAAGAGAAGCTCGGCTACCATTACAAAGGGCCACACAAATACATTGCATAAACTCAGTGACATTCATTCCGAGAATGCACTGCTGGACCTTGACACTTGAACCTCCTCAGTACAGACAAGCTGCGCCCATTTCCAGACTGGAACCATAAAGCTCTGCTAGCTTCTCATTGCCATATCAAGCACAGTGATGGGGTATCTGCCATGAGAGAGAGTGTGCAGTGCTGCACGAAGTGAAGAAGATGACAAACACGCGTGACATAGTTACACCTCCTCGACCATTTTGTCGGACTACTGAAATGTGCTTTACATGCAAGTCTTGCCCCTGTCACAGTATATTTATAAACACCACCACCTTCCTTGGCCAAACAAAATTGCCCTCGTCAGGAAAATCTGGCACAGTTTGTAACAGTCAGCATGACAGAAAAGTCAGTCAGTGGCGAGAACACTGCGCAGCTTACAAGCGATGTGTCTCCCGTGAACGGATGCTTGAAGTTGGCTACATCAGGGGTGTTGTACTTCTTGATACGAGCTAGGTCAGCCTGCCGGGCAGCATCCAGGAGTGCATGGCCTTTGTACTCATCTGCACCAGGAAAAGTAGTAGAGACATGGGGGCCCACACAAATTACTATTCACATAGGTTGGACTAAATGCTGAACAGAGTGAATTAGCAGAGACCTAAAGGACGTCAAAATATGTTGAAAAATTACTAACACAAAAATTATTATCTTTTTGATGAATTGAAAAGCCCAGCCCTCTAGAGCTTAGAAAACGTACTGGTAAGCATGTATGCGGTAAGCATGTGTACTCAAAAATTATAACATACTATATAACAAAGTTTTGGTTCCTACAGTACCCCAACATCACGAAATGGTTCGAGTCATAAGCTTCAAAAAATACTGTGATGTTTTGACAACCACTCTGCTCCAATGGGAAAACACAGCTGGCCCTTTTCAGGGTATCTAACAATTTCGTTATTCCGAATTCCCTGACATTTCCAAGTTTCCCATGATGATTATAGGCAAATTCTGTAACGCAACTCTGCTAGGAAACCTCTGCGGACTGGCAACAAACATTCATGTAAACATTCATGCAAACTGAACCATGCAACCTTATTGCATTCCCTCGGCTGAAAGCATTCTTTACTTATAGTAAATACTGTACTAAAAGACAATAAATGTACAGCTACAAACAAAGAAGTTGGTTTATTTGCATCAGCAATGGTTTTTGTTGTTTCAGTACGGGGACCTGAAGCTGAGTGGCTTTCATCAGTGTTTCTTGTGACCTAAGCTCTTTTACAAGTGCTGTAGTTCTCTTTCTTTCAACATCCGATAAGTTCATCCACTTTTTCCTTTCCCTTTCCAGGTCTTCTTTCCATCTGATGTTGGCACTTCAAACCATGTCTACCAACTTGTCTGTTACCTGAACATGCAACTGCTCTTTCATATTTTTTACAAGACATTCCTTTATTACAGAAAATCGCCACTCCGCAGAAGAATTTCCATGTGAAAGACAAACTGCCATCTCACAAACAGCATCAATTCTTTATCAGAACTTTAACAGTCCCATCCACAGGGTCTCTAAGCTATCTCTTGTGTGAACAAATTTTCACAAGTTCACTTGTGCAGTGCTTTGTGTAGAGGCTTAATTTGAGAAATCTTGCAGTCCTCAGGGAGCACACCTTCACTCAGAGACCTAGTATATAATATACACAAAAATGCTTCGCACACCACTCTGCAAACTGTTTTAAGAAGGCAATCGGTGTCTCATCTGGTCCAACCAATGCATCCTAGAAAAGACTATGCCAGCGACATGAGCCGCAATAGCACTGCCCCACCCTTTCCGTTTTCCTCCTTTCCCACCCTGCTGACTTTGTACAGATGCTAGAGCCTCACGCAGCAACTCCTTGCAACCTGAAGCGTCGGCATCGTTGGTAACTTGAGCAGACAATGCCATGCACGTTGGCGGGAAGAATGCCAGCGTTGTTGAAAGTGAGGAAGGAGTTGATCAAACTAGAGCGCGACGAAACGCATCTCGAACACACTAGCAACGTGACGTCATCGAGTTGACGATGCTGTGTAAAAACAGCCATCGAGAGAAATAAACGAAATAAAAACATGAGAAAAAAGAAAACGCCAGTTCTTGGCGAGCTTTTTTGCCTTGATTTCATGCCCTCATAGAAAAAGTGATGCGTTTTCGAGCTGTATGTTCATCTTGCCAAAAAATCCAGTTTGGCTGCATGCCCAAATGCTCGCAGAGCCTCAAGAAAAAGTTTCACATACCTTAGAAGAGCTATTTGAGTGGCTCAAGGCCATTTTGAGAGATGACTGGGCGCCAACAGGTAACGCTGTATTGTGCACTAAGGAGTAACCCACAGAAACGCTGTTGCGAAGCTGTTCGAAAGAAAACCCCTGTCCCGAAAAGCTTTTAAACTGTAGCCAAGCTTCATACCACGAAATGACTCGCGTTTGTTGAAGTGACGCTCCTCCTATGCGATTCACTAACACGCAACCGAACAACCACATGAAGCAGCCAGCTGCGCCGCTCTATCGACATAACGTTGACGACATAGTCGCTCTCGCTGGCTCCAGCGGTACAGTCGCTAGCACCACCACACAGCGCCCGCTGGAAACGTGTGGCAGCATTCCTCTAATGGCAAAGCTGGTGAAATCCCAAGCATAGTATTTTTTTTAGGAGGCATCGGTCCAACATACTTTTGACATCCAGATTTAACAACAGATTAAAGATACCCTCTTCAGAAATGGCAGCATCAAATAGCAGAGGTAGGTTTCCATCGAAAGGGGAGAGACGATTACTATCATCTTCTGTATAGACACTGTTGAAATAGGCCGCACAGGCAGCTTTGTCGCCTCTTTCTCATATTCCATTAAAAAGAAATACGTCAAAAGAATACATGCCTGGATTGACCTTTTTTTTAAAAATTACCTTGGACACGTCTTAATAAATTGCAGCAATTTTCCGTTGAAGTACTTTTCCTTGTCACGAAAAGATTCTTCTTCATTTCTTCCCGTACATTGTAAATTTTTTTTTTAATTCAAACCGTTTGCCCCGTTTGACCTTTTTATCAATCATTTAAACTTTAGCTTCAGCAGTAGTGTCTGTTTTGTTATCCAGGGATTGTGACTTTCGGCTTTTTTTGTAATTTAAGGAATTGAGCACTGCACACAATCTTGAATTATTCTCTTAAAACAAACTCATAGATTTTCAATGCTACCATTACCTGCATTAAAATGATCATACTGAAAGGCCAGGACATCAACTATTGATTCATCCTCTGCTTTTGAATAATTAGGAAATTTTTCCCCGTCCTTTACTGAGTGCTATTCCCTTTAGAGTGACTACCACAGCCTTGTGGTCCCATATGCCACATGTGATGCTGCATGACAAGCTTTATTTTATATTGCCACTCATGAGATACTATATATCTAGGCTATATTTCATCCCCTGGTGTGTTTTAGTTGGATCAGTTAATGATTGTATCACATAAATTTAAACATCGTATCAGATATTTCAGCATCCGCAGTTGATATCTTTGGTTTTTACATGACAATGCAGGTAATCTTTTAAGCTGAGCAAGATCGAGGGAAGCATTCGGTGGCCTGTAAATGCCAGACACCAAGAAGATATCTAATATTGCCATTATACACTTTACAAAAAATGCTTTCTATGTCTGCTACGTCTGGCTTTTTTACAACAAGTGTTTTGTTCTTAAAAAGAATAGCACCTTCCCCTCCCCTCTCATCTCGATCTTAATGAAACGCTCATTTTTCGGCACAAACTCACTATCAAAGACACCATCTCGTAGCCAGTAAGACAATATTTCTGACGTGTGCTAAAATCATGCCTTCCTATTTCTCAGCCTTATAAACAATACTGCAGCAATTTACATTTAGCATCACTTAACACCCTTTATCTAGTTTTTTTGAACCTTAATTTGGCTAGATAAAATGTCTTTTATTTTTATCATCATCCCAACCAAAAACCTTTCCACCAATGCTTCTTTGCCAAGAACTAACAACTTTAGATCCATTTGTGCCCTCACGCGACAAACTTAACCACGATTTTTTTTTCTGATATCATGAACACAAGATAAAAAGTCTTCACTGATCGAACACCTCTGTAGAACAGCTATTTTGTTCCAGTAATCGAGCATTTTTTTAATTAGTGGCCATTGTTTGCCCCTCCTTTTACCCAATCTCTGACACTTTTATAACCACTGACATTCATTCCAACCTTTTCTTCAAACATGTCATTTATTCATTACTTCAGTAAGGTCAGCAGTCGTTTCCTTAGCTTCTTCCTTCAGGCCAAAAACAATCAAGTTATATTGTCAACTTCTGTTCTCAAGCTCATCCATTTCTTTTCAACGCAAAATCTAAATTTTTGTAAAGTTGTGTTGCTCTTTGCTTTAAGGGGGGACATGGGTTCTAGAATTTTTTCATTTAATTTTTTGCTCAATCTTAACCAACCTTCACTATCTAAGCTAGTTTTTCATGCAGATTTCAAATCTCTAATTTGTTTCTTAATATTTCAAGTGGTTTAGAAAACATGAAGGTCTGAATCTTAATTGCGTATTTCTTACGGGACTTCTTGGCCATTTATTCTTGCTAAATCCAAAAAGTGAATGCATAATCCCAATGCTAAGAGACTTGCTGTAGGGGTGATGCTATTTTTATCCATTTGAAGACATTTTATAAGCAAGAAAACGGATGTACACTTATGGTCACTATATTACAATAAATTTTTCTCACTAAAATCTTCAATGGTAATTTTTGAAGTGATGCTAGCGAAATAAAAATAGCATCACCCCCTATATCATATCAAGACGAATAAAATGATACCAACTTTGTCGCATTCACTCAAGTTTAACATAAGAAAAACCCCCATAAGGCCGAGTGCAACGTGCAAGAACATCGAACTGAGAAAAACGCGTTTGAAGTTTCTAGCAACTAACTTTTGCGAAAGTGATGCTACAGCGATATTAAAGACATCATTCTGTAGCTCTATGTCAAAGGATAAATGGCCATGCTAAATTTCACTGTACCCACCCAGAATACTGCTCACACCTTGTTCTAGAACTATAAAATAGTCATTGACTCAGCATGAGAATTAATATTTTTTTACTTTGTGGTCGTTCCAGTGCCTTGCAAGTGAAAGGAACACAAAAAAATCATGTAATAATGTTGTCCTTGGATAGACAATACACTTACAGAATGTTTAGGTCTAAAACCAAGAATATTTATTTTTGCAAAAATTCTCACTATTTGCCATCATGACTGTTTACAGCAGACCAGGGCTGTAAGCAGAGTCCCCTGCTGGCTTGTGGCGTTTCGAAAGTCTTTCCTTTATTGAACTGCTGTCGAGATGCTCTCTTCGTGATTTCTGCAGCCTGCCCACGTCCTTCTCAAGGCTGCGATGCACCAAGTTGTTGCACCTTTCCAAGAGGGCATTGTCGCTCAGCCGCCTAAACATAGGCTCCAATGCCTCAGTTACGAAATCAGGCAGGCTGTCCTTGTGTGGTGGCGGCTTCTCATTTTTCACAAGAGCTCTCTGAAATGTGCA